AAAAGACGGAGCTGAAAAAAGCTCCTCTTGTAGAAAGACACACATATTTCCTCTTTAAGCTGCAGCCACATTATTCTGGATTATTCTCCCTCCTGATATCTGCTCGTGTCCTTCCAGTTTTTCTGCTGTGTTTGGCTCTGATTGGTTATCTGATGGAGTTTTTGCAGTGGTATGCAAATACAGGCCGCTGGCTGCAACATGCCCAACCTGATATTACAGGCTAAAGGAGACAAGAGGCTGCAATTAAACAGAACAACAAGCGTCCTTCAATGAGGCTGGAAATGAGCTTGGAAAGTGCAAGATCTTTGTTTTGTTTCTCGTCTTAAGCTTCGGTTGCTAAGTGCTAGTTGCTGCAGAGTTTTCTCTCTTCCCTAGAGATCAGACGTCTCCTCCTCCTCCTCCGATCTTGTGTTGGTTTCTGGAGGTTGGAGTTGTTCGTTTTCTCTCTCGTTTGCCCTTTCAGCCACCGTGGTCATCGCTGTTCGTGCTCACCGCCCACTCCGTGTTGTTTATTCTAAAGAAACTGGAATTGCAAAGTGCATCATTTCCTGTCTGCTAGATTAGTTTGCCAAGGAAATTCTTACCAAATAGTGGGTGGTTATTTGAGCAAATGTCAAAGACTTTCTAAACTCTGTTTAGTTTCTGTCTTGGTTAATCTTAAAAATCAGCACAAGCCTTAAACTCTGGGGGTCAGTGTGCAGGCTGTGGGGTGAAAGGTCATTACATGGTGCACTTTATCTCATGAGAAACACAGGAGAGGAGATAGGTCAAGTACTACATTCAGATATATACTCATCAAAGTGTCAGCGTGGCTGGGAGGCAAAGGGCGTGATTTAATGTTTATTATATTTCTGGTGGATAATATTGTTTATTATATTGTTTTATACGTTCTTGATAAATTGTTAATTACATGTTCTTAATTTTGATAATCAGGCATTTAATGTATCGTTGAGGATACATCGGCCAGATAAGGGCATAAAACACATAATGTTTGTTTGTTTTGAGGCCTATACGCTACAGATAATCAATAATATAAGGGTGTGCAATATTGATTACTCTTTGTTTTACTCTTAAATGTGTATTATTGATTATTTCAGCAGTGTTCAGATGCAAAACATGAAACTAATTAATTGTTAAAATGAAAAGTTGACCCTAACTATTTAAAAAAAGGTTAAAATATTGAATCTTTACCCTAAATGGGTAATGTACCTCAGGAGCTGTAGTGTGTAAATCAGAAAATAAAGGTCACATTCTGATAAAAATCATAAATTTGATCGTGGATTCGTTATAAAATATCAGTTATCAATTTCCCATTGGAGGCTTAACTCTGTTTATCTTTCCTGTTCCAGGGCTGACGGGGAAAAGTGAGAGATGCAGTGAAGAAAAACGGACACGCCTCAGGTCAAAGGTTAAACGCTCATCAGGAAGCGAAGGTGCAGGATGCAGTCTCGTGTGCAGGAGCAGCCATTGGCCCTCACTGTGGTGAGGTCACACTATCCGACCAATGGGAAAGAAGAGGAAGTGAACACAGGTGAGGGGCTTTACCTTGAACGTGGCCCGGAGGCGGTTCCTCATCAGATCAACAGGATGAAAGTGTAGCAGTGTCTGCAGAGACAAATGGGGATTTGTTGTGTTTCTTGCTAAATTCACTTTGTTATTCTTGATAGGAATAGAACTTTTAGGGGCCAAGAAACAGGAAGTTGTTGCAACTTCTGTAATTTGTCCAATCGGTGCCAAACTTCACATGTCGGGTTTTGTTCAGAGTCTCTCCCTGAGCACGTTCTTGTTCTTGATCAGGTCCAGCTGAAATTTGGCCAGAAGACTCTTAAGACGTTGATGATGATGTGTTATGAATTTCGTTCATTTTTTTGTTGAACGCCGTTGCCGTGGTGACATGGCGACTGTCAATATTTTGCTTTAACAGTTTTGCTCAAAAACTCAGGCAAAATGGTTCACTCATGTCCCCTAGAAAGCTTCCAAACAACAGCCCCGCTACAAAAAGCCTCTTGGAGCCATATGTTAGACCCAACAGGGTTGGTCATTTTTGGCAGTTTACACACGTTGTACTTTAATGAACTCCTCCTAGGGAATTGATCAGTCAAACATTTAATCAATGTAATCTAAAGACCTTCACAATGAAAAGCTGTGTGATTTGTGAGTTTCTGCTGATCGGTGGGCCCGTGGCGTTGTGACGAATTTCAATGTTTTGCGCAGCTTTAATTTTACGTTATCACATCAACAAGGGAGGAAATGGGGTCGGCTGTTCTGATCGATTTTAATTTTAAGTGACCCCACCTTGATCTTTGATTGACTTTGAGGACTGTATAAAATACTCAGAAGGGACTCCTTAAGACAACATCCTCTCAAACTGGGTGTCTGAGGTCTGATGTGGGGGTCTTTGACTGAGTTCGACTACATTTTAATGCGAAAAGTTTCACACAATTTGAAATGATTTTAATTATTTTTCAAATAGTTTTGTCATAGGAGAAGAGTGTGTTCAGGGCAACACACACCAGCAGTGTGTTTCTATGTAAACATGCACAATGGCGGCGTTTTGATGCAGTTCATTACACATCAACACGTCAGGATACGTTACTGGCAGACGTCCCAGCTCGGTTGCATCTAGCTGCACTGCTAATTGTTAACAGAAACATGTAGTTATTTAGCTTGTGGGGCTAATGCTACATAATGTGCAGAACTTTATTAACTTTATTAAGTTAAAAAACCTTTAAACACTGATGCATCAAAACAAATCCATGAACACTGTTCATGAAACGTTCCTGTGTGTTCTGGTCCGACCCCTCTGTTTGACGTACAGCGTGTCAGCTGGGTGAGAAGGGTTAAGCTCTTCCTAAGTGAGCAGACATTACAATCTATCACAACAAACTCCATCAAAGCTTCCGCCTCCCAGCGTCCCCTCTCATTAGACAGAGCAGGTTCAGTCTGCACACACACAACAACCTGACACATAATACCTCAAATGTCTCCGTCTCCCGCAGGCAAAGTGAACAGTTGTCACCTTCAGGAGGAGCATTCGTGGCATTACATTGTGTAACACCACATCCAGCAGGCTCCAGATCAGTATTGGGCTTGTTACTCTTTCCAAAAGTATTACTTAAGTTATTACTCCCTGCCAACAGTAATTAGTTACACCCCATAAAATTTGTAATTTCTTCACAAATCTCTGACTTTTCATGTTCGGCTCTGTGTGAATGTCAGGGTAATCGCCCGGTGCGCAGCTGAGGTTCAATCTATCTGATTTTGTTCTGCAGCCTGTGAATCCAAAAGTTACATGGAAAGCTCAAACTGATCATGAGAACAATCTTTTAAACAATTTCTGTTAAGAGCCGACGTATGCAGCCACAAGCTTTATTAGTCCCTGCTGTACGCCATTAAACTCAGAATGATGGGAATATTTCCAGCTGCTGAATGTTTCCATCTTCCAAACTGGTTTCCTGATTGGTGACTCCAGGGATGTGATTGGATTGTTTGATTTCAAATCAGTAGGAAGGTTGACAACTAAAGTAAGGTTTTAACATTTTTGGGGTGTAACTGTAATACTGATATTTTATTGGAAATTAGTTCCACTACTCGTAATATTATTACCAGTAATGTCTTACTGCAGCGGTTCCAAACCTTCCTTTTCTATCAACGAGTAAATTGATGGCTGACTATATTATATTATATTATATTATATTATTTCCCTACTTTTATTGTTTTTATACTGTTTTTTCTCTTATCCCTTTGCTGCTGTAACATTGAATTTATCCACCATGTGGGACAAATAAAGGAAATATCTATATGATGTATTTTATGGATATTTCATATTCAGTATATTTACAATATCAGCACAGAACAACAGATAGTGAACACAGTAACTGCAGGAAGTTTGTGTAAAAGGAGCACTTTAAAGAGTTTTCCTCATAATTCTGTCTACATTGTGTATTTTTTTACTCAATAGGGTTAGTTAGTATTTTGACACTGTGTTTGAAATGAGGAGATAAAGACTTACTGTGCATATTTTAAAAGTTTTCTTACACTTACTAAAATCAAGAAGGCCTCGCGACCTCCTGTGAAGCTTTGGAGACCACAGTCTTACTGCCGAACACTGCTCCAGATACATTTACAAAGCATCAAAACTGTGTATTTCAACCACTATCCCATAAATGAAATGCACATTAAGCCTCAAGACAACCCTGCTCCTTTTATCAGTGAATCACAGGTTTTTTGTTCATCCAGATGCAGACTCCATTGAAGAAGAGGCGGAGTTCAACTGGGAGGAGTACATGGAGGAGACGGGGGCCAACGCCGCCCCTCACACCACCTTCAAACATGTGAGTGACTGTGTATGATCTTCACCTCACACTTTAATCCCATCCCCCCCCCCGAGGTGATCCTTTAAACACAGCCTGCTGGATAAGTAGCGTATGCAGAAATCCTTTAACGACATATTGGAGAGAGCCGGGACTTGGCATCGCGGCACTAATGCTGTTCAACAGAGCGCCCGCGTTGGCTTTGTTCTCTCATGACGCACGAGTTGTTAGTCGACCTTTGCTGGTTTTTGCAAAACACAATTGAGGGTAATTACTGAAGCGCAAGAGAAAGCAATACAGTGAATACAAATAGGCACCATGCTGCTGCTAATTCACTGTGTGAGGCACATATTTTAATTTCTTCTTCATTCCTGCGTCCTTGCTGTCAGAGAGGGCGGAGGTGGAAATCATTATCACACACTGCTTATAAAGTCAAATAACTTCACTCTGGCTATATGTGTTTTATAATTAGGATCTGATAAAGATCTTTTGTAGGAAAAAAAACTGCTAATCTGACTTTAATCTGGCAGTTAATAATTGATTAGTTGTTTGGTTTATAAAATGGTAAAAAAATATTGATTGAGGGCGAGGAGAGTTGCTAAAGGGTGGAAACAACAAAGAAAGTTGATGCAATATGGATTAAAAATGACACTGGATACTTTTTGAAAGGTTCTTATATTGAAGGGTTTTGCAGGCAGACTTTACGTGAATAGGAACTGGCTTCCAGTCAAGATGTAGGAACGTTTTTGGAGGTTTTACTGAAGGAAATATGGTGACTAGGACTGAAACTAATGATTATTCTCATTGATTAATCCATCAATCATTTTATCGATTTGTTTGCTCAATAAAATGTCAGAAAATGATCAAATGTGTTGATCCCAAAGCCCAGGGGGACGTCCTCAAATGTCTTCTTTTGTCCACAACCTGAGATACTTCAGTTTATTGTCATAGAGGAGTAAAGAAAGCCGACAATATTCACATTTCAGAGGCTGGTATTGGACAAATAAATGCCTCAAAACAGTTCAATTAACATGTGATCAGTCACAGAAAAACAAAAGAGGAAGCAGTGTGGGATCATTGGGAGTTTTGTCTTCACCCAACACCCGATTGGCGTCATTGGCAGGTCCAGCTTCTTCCCGGTTATGGATTCCTTCAATGTTCATGGTTCAGGAGGTTTCTACCGGGAAGCCAATATCCACAGAGGTCTCGCTCGCTGCTCCAAAACACAAGCAGACCTGACTGATTAAAACCACCTAAACACACTGAATAAAGGCAGTTTCCACCCTTAAAAATCACTGCTTCTCCCTCCAGCCTGGACCTGTGATCAGTGATGATGTGCTGAAACTGGGCTGATGTCTCTGACGTTTACCTACCAGTGAATTATAAGAGCGATTGTGAGCGAGTGCTGTCCTGTTTCAGTCAGGAAAAAGCTGCTTTGTTAAAGACAGCGTGAACCTTGTCTGTGAGGCAAAGAGCAGCTAATTCACCGAGTGCCTCATCTGATCTTTATCTCGTATATCTGAGTCAGGAATTCAATTCTCAAGAAAACTGATAAATCAGATTTGAAAGTAAATGGGCCACAACTTGTATGAAGTGCAGTCTGCAGGTCCGGGGGGGCGACGGAGGGCAGATTGACGAAAGCTGGCTCAGTTAGTTCAGGCAGACAGTCGCAGTCCAGGTCGGCTGAGAGGTCGGCTGAGAGGTCGGCTGAGCAGCGTGTTGCCATCACCAACCGGGCGGTCGGTTTAACGTGTCAAACTCACCTGCTTAATCTCTGCCTGCTGCTGTTTGTTGACCTCCTCTGATCTCATGGCTGCTGCAGAGACACACAGCGAGTGACTGAATAAAGGGTTTTTACAGAAAAAACGCTGACTCACCTAACCGCTTAAAAAATGTGGTTGTTCCTCATGCTAATGATAAGCTCAGCAGAACTGGTGTGGAGCCAGTGAATGATGATGAAGTCTTACTGTGTTCATAACGGCCAGATGTGAGTTTTACGTACAGAAAAGAACCTTTATTTCCATATGCAAACATATAAACATGGTACAAAAGTCACACATCAGCTGAAAGAGGACAGAGGCACCCAGTTGGCCTTATTCTAATCCTTATGTAATCACCCAGGAGTTGAACAAAATCAAAGTCTGTCTGTATGTCGTCGGGTTTTTAAAACGTTCTCGTTTAAACTGAGACGAACCAGCCTCTTCACATCGGAGGACAGGATCGATGACTGATACGGATGCTTTCAACTTCACTCAGTATTTTTATATGAAGAATATGATTCCTTGTTTCATTTTAGATGTTTCCAGGGAGGAATTATTGAGTGTAAATAGTGACTTTACTGTTGCAAACATTACAGTTCCTGCTGTAGAAACATCTACTTTTATTAAAAATCTTAAACTCTGAATTTAAAGGCTGAACTGTACAGCTAATATGTGCTCTTCAGTATTTGTTTTATCATCATCATAATATTGAATAGATATTATTATCAGACATATCAGAAACAGGCCTTTTAGCAATGATGCATTGTGTCACTTACCCATCACCTAAAATTAGATCCACATTTTTATTTTAAATCGCATTAAACCACGTTGTTTGCAGTATCACAATTTATGGGAAAATATTGAATCGTGACCTCTGATATGTCTAATATCACCAGATTCTAGCTAATATGTCAGCCCTTAGTTGGAGTTTGACTGTTATGCTTTCCATCAAATATACACTTTTCAACCTCTCAGACCTGTCAGACAGTCGGTGGCTTTATATTTCTTCTACGATCAGCAGCGACACTCATCAAAACATTGATTTAATAAAATAACATTTTCTTGTATTAAGCAAATAAAATCTGCCAGTGGGATCCGAAAAAAGTTTTTCTTATTACAAACAATGAAACTCAGTTATTTATGATTCTTAAAATCAGTATTTTAGTCACTTTATTGAGCTGAATTTGAACCTTTTAACCTAAAATCTTCCAATAAGACTCAATTTCTTCAGACTGCAGAATAAAAATCAGTGACTTAAATGAAAGAACCAGAAACATTTTTATTTTTATACAGCTGCTTCATT